AACAAGTAAGGCAAGTCAACGACGGAATGGTTCTAAAGGCCCAATAAAGAAAAATGATATATTTGGAATACATAAAAATAACAGTTATGAATGGGAAGTTCTTCTTGGAGAAGTTTCTAATGGACCATTTATTAATACAACACAAACTCAATTACATATATCTGATGACCACAATAAACTTGGAAAATGTGCAAAAGATGCACTAGATGATGCTCTAAATTATTTCATTAATTTAAATTGCTCAGCCAAGACTCAGAATTTAAAAACTTTTAAAGAGATTAATACATTTTTAATTTATGCCCATGGTCTGCTTCTATTTTTGTCTCATAATAATATATGTATATATTTATTAAATTTAATAACCATATTTTTTAGAAATATTTCTGGAGCTTTTTATTTTAGATCAAGAATTTGAGCCTTTTTTTCGGTTGAGAAAACTATGTAAGATTTCGATTCCTTGTAAACAAGGCACAATTGGTGGTATTATTGACTTGGTCCAGAATTTATAAATATTTAGAGATATATTAATGCTTAGTTTAAACAAAATTAAAGAAATTAATCATTTGTTTAAAATGAAGCAGCAATATGATAATAACATAAAGAATGATTATATAAGAATTCCAACTCTAAATACACCATTAAAATAATAGAACCTTAAATAGCTTTTTTTTGTAAAGGCATTGATTAAATTTTATCAATTTCTGTTTTTATGAAAGCATCAATAGAGTTATCAATAAATATGTTTCAAACTTATGTTACACTAACAAATTCTGTCGCCATTTTGACATGTTATTGTATATGGTACAAATTTTTATCTGTGATTGGCTAATTACGTGGCGTGACAGGCGTGCATCTCGTGATTATTCAAATTCATATAACGTCCTAGGCTACACTTCGAACAATTTCATGGAGAAATAAAAACACTTTCAATTACCTTTAAACTTCATGGTTATCTTAAAGATATTCCTAAATCTATTAAATGTTATGATATTACACATACTGAAATACTTTTGGAAGAGAATTTGGTAGTTTATTCTGGTTCACAATTCAATATCTTTTTTCCACAGAGTTAAAATTGTTTATAAAGATGTAAATGAAAAAAGTAATTTATGTATTATTAATAATGTTCTACAGAATATTTTTAAATTTATAGATCAAGTTCCAGTTCTTAAAATGTTTTTTATAATTATGTAATCATTTCTCAAACAATGATTTTTTTGAAACTTTTGAACGTTGATATTAAAGCAAAATATACTCATAAGTGTTCAATTCACCGATACATATTTTATTGGCTTCAGCTTTTCAATTGTATTTCGCCTTACTGTATAAGATTAACAAATGAATCGCAAAATATTATACTCTAATTTACATGACGAATGTGATCATTTCTCAAACAATGATTTTTTGAAACTTTTGAATATTGATGTTAAAGCAAAATATACTCGTGAGTGTTCAATTCACCAGTTGTATTTTACTATGTAAGATTAGCGAATGAATCGCCGATAATTTACGTGTTCAATTCACAATAAAGAATTCTAAAACATTATTCAAAAATTTAACAGCAATCTTTAATAAAAAACAAAAGGCAAAATGAGAAACCTGACTTTAGAATTTTA